ACGTGGCCCGCGCCCCGCCAATCAGAGGCCCCTGCCCGACGGGTCGGGAAGGATTTCTGCGGGTGGAAGTTGCGCGCACCTCCTGCCCCAGGCGAGGGCTGGGCGCCCGGCAGACCGCGCTGCGGCGGCGGCTTGCTCGCCAACCCCTGCGGCCTGCGTGAGCTTGTCGCGGCTCTTAGCTGCCGGCACACTGGGTTCCTTCTTGCTGCCTGAGCCTGGCTCTCCCTCGGCGCTCTCTGTGAGAGGCCCATGTCCTCTGAGTAAATTCCTTTTCTGCGCAGGTGAGCCAGTCAGGTTCTATGGTTCGCTCCCAAGATCTCCAGCTGTTACATTTTCTTTTCTTTCCCCTTCCACCCCCCCAAGCGAAGTTACTACTCACGGCTCTTGCCTTGCGTTTTTCACCATCCACAGTTTTTCCACTGGCAAGCTCATCTGTTTGCCAGGTTTCAGTTATTACCTTTATGCCAATTTCTTCCAAAGCTTTTTCCAGGTTTCACCTCCCTCCTGAGCTGTAATCTAATTTCATGTTTCCAAATGCACACCCCTGCATGCCCTTCTGATACATCAAAATCAACAAGACTAAAACTCAAACTCAGCAGCGTTTCATCTCCTCCAGCTGCTCTCTTTCTTGCTGAACACCCTGATCTGGATTTTTGTCTATGCCGTCTCTCACAGCCCCAAACAGTACCAAGTTATTTTTATTTTTTCCTGACCAGTACCTCTCATGTCCTTTCTTTCCTTCATACTGTCATTATCTTGTTGTTACTTGAACAATTGTCATAGGCTCCCTACTGACCTCTTACCTCTAGTTGTCCCCCTGAATCAACCTGACACATATAGTCAGACTAAAGTTCCTAAAACACAGCTCTGGTCATATCACCCTCTCCCTTGCCTCTTTAAATCCTTCAGTTTCTCCTGGCGAAAGTAAAAAGTCGAGAGCCTGACTCTCCAGCAATCCACAACCTGATCCTAGCCTACTTCCCCCTTATTTATTCTATATGTGGCATATCTTTTCTTAACACTTTAGAATGTGATCTTGTTCCATACTCTCCCACCCTCAAGCTTTGCTTAGGGTGTTTTCATGGTGTGTCTTTCTCTGCAGCTCAACTCAAGTGCCAAATCAAATGCTGTCTCCTCTATGAGGTCCTCCTCCTGCTCCCCTCTTAAAGTGCTTCTTAACTTTTAATATGCATATGAATCACGTGGGCATCTTGTTAGAATGCAATTTTGGTAAGTCTCTGGGATTCTACATTTTTTAAGAAAAAATGTATACTGATTTCAGAGAGGAAAGGAGGAGGAGGAGAGAGAGATAGAAACTTCAATGGTGAGAGAGTCATTGATCCGCCGCCTCCTGCACGCCCCCAACTGGGGATCGAGCCCGCAACCCGGGCATGTGCCCTGACCGGGAATCGAACCCTGAATGCCTGAATCCTAGGTCAATGCTCAGCCGCTGAGCCATGCCCAGCCAGGTGGGATTCTACATTTCTAACAAGTTCTTTGTTGATGCTGAAGGTCCCTGGGCCATACTTGAAGTAGCAAGGCCCTAGAGAAAAGCATGTTCTTTCACTAAACCATAGGGCAAGATTCCAGGGCAGGAATTTTATATTATTCATTTACAATATTCTACAATCTTTAAAGTACCCATTTTGTCTCCTCAAAAATGGGATTGAACTTGGCTCATTGCTATTTTGGTTAAATGCAGTGACTTGATGGATTTATTTTAATGGAATTGAATATGCTTCTGGTATCAGCTTCTTTTCTTTTTAAAAAAATATGTTTTTATTGATTTTAGAATGAGAGGAAGGGAGATGGAGAGAGATATAGAAACATAGATTAGATAGAGATCGATCGGCTACCTCCTGCATGCCCCCCACTGGGGATCCAGCCTGCAACCTGGGCATGTGCTCTGACCAGGGATTGATCCATGGGTCTACGCTCAACCACTTAGCCACACTGGCTGGGTACCTTCTTTTCTTTTCCATACCCTGGCTATCCTCTCTTTATAGTTTAATTGGATTTCATATGGATAAATATATGGGAAGAAGGGGATCTGCTGTAGGTTAGGGTGGCCCAACCTGTTTAAGATAATGCTAATTTTGTTAAGATAATAGCTATTATTGTTTACAGCTAGGGTTCTTAAATATAAAAAACAGAACCCACTCTAGCTCAGGCAGAAAAGTCATTTATGAAAAGTCTATTAGGCAGCACATAGAATTGTCGAGAGGGTCAGAGAGTGCACAGCAAAAGCAATGCATATATTATTATATAGAGGACTCCATAGCCACACCCTCGGGGCATTGACTCTGCAGCTCACCATGTACTTGAAGTCCTAGGACTTGGGCCACTACTGCTTCTGAAAGCTGTATGTGTCTGCCACCACCCTTGCCACAGTGTGCTCCTTTTTCATGTTTGATTCTGGCTTCCTTTTTCATGTTTGTGTTAGTTTCCAGTATGAAACAAATTACCACAAACTGAGTGACTTAAAACAAAAGAAATTTATTGTCTCACAATGCTAGAGGCCAGAAGTTCAAAATCAGTATCATTGGGTGGGATTCAAGAAGGCGTTGGTGTAGCTATGTTCTTTCTTGAGGCTTTAAAGGAGAATTCGTTCTTTGCTTCTTCCAGCTTCTGGTGGCTCTGGCATTACTTGGCTTGTGGCTGCATAACTCCTATTTTTAAGGCCGGCATCCTCAGATCCCTCTCTGCCCTTTCATCACATTGCCTTCTCCTTGTGTGTGTCGAGCCTGCCTCTGCCCACCTCTTAAAAGGATACATGTGATTTCCTATAGGGCCCACCAGGACAATGCAGGTTAATCTCCCTGACTCAAAAGCCTTAATTTAATCACACCTGCAAAGTCTTAACCATATAAAGTAACAATCACAGGTTCCAGGTATTAAAGCCTGATGTTTTTGGGGCAATTATTCAGTCTACTACACTGGTATTTGCTTCTGAATTAAAGTCTCACTGTGTTTTCTTAGCGGCGGAGCCTAAGTCACATGCCTGCTCCTGAGCTGCAAAGGAAGCTGGGAAGTGAGCTTGTTCAGAGATGATAGGTGGCCAAAATATATGTCAAATATCAACTAAAATAGTCTCCAAAGCTTCATAAAAATGAACTTAGTGCTGGAATCTTTAAACCGAGAGAAGCTATTTATGGCCGAATGTTTTAGTCACCAAATTTCAAGCCCTGCAACTATTGACAAGGAAAACCATCAATTTAGAAAAACATTTTCTTTGACTTGAGGGGTTGAGGTGGTAAAAAGAAAACAAAATAAAAACATCAGCCATGGCTTTGGGAAGAACTTATAAGACCAATCTATGTCCTGTGTTTCACAGAATATTTTAAACCAATTGGCTTTCTTGTTTCTGTAGCCAAACTCAGTCAGGAAGGCCTCCTTCTCTTCCTCTGTGCCTTTTTGATCACTGGAAAAATTTGCCCTAGGACCTTAATGTGGACAATTTAATTAGGTCCTATATTTCATTTAAAATTATTTTTTGTTATAATGTCATGGTAAATTCCATTTCCTAGCTGATCTGATGTATATATTACTCCTGTGGTGTCCAGCATTGTCCAATACACTTATGGCTATAAGGACTTGGGCAATAAGATATGGACAACTTCTGTTTCTTCAACTCCCTGATATGTGATTTTCAAACAAACCAAAAGCCCACTGTTGTACCTCTCCCCTTTTCCTCAGTGCATATGTGTACCTTCATGTCAGCAGTTAATTTTCCCAGTTCCTCTCATGCTAGAAATAATGGTGTCAACTCTTATTTTCCTAATCAGTTTGTAAAAAAAAATATCAAATTATCTGTTAGGATATGCCGTGTTTTAAAAGAGTTATAGTGATGGTAGGCATCCTACAGGTTGCACAGTGTCCACATTGCTGTGGTTGCAATAATTCTACATTCCGGGGAGAACCATGCAAAGGTATAGAGACTAGCATTTACAGCAACTACGTAGACGCCAGTGTAAATACATCTTAAGCTCTTTTGTGTAAATAATCTTCTGAGAACATTGTCTTTATTGTTGACACTTTGCTGTAGGTTTATAAGAAGCACTTAAAATTCAATTCACTCCCTTGAGTGTTTTGTGTGTGTGTATATGTGTGTGTGAATCTGGCAGATATTATGATCTGATTGACAATGATCCCAGCTTCCCCCAACACTAGCTGAAAAGTTGGGGGCAAATTCCCGACCCTTTGTGACACTGTTTCTCATTATAGGATGAGAATAATAACTGTGTCTTACTTCCCTGCACCAGTTACCTTCCCCTTTCTTAGATATGACTGGCATTTTAAGAAAAGTATATTTTAGTGCTTGTCTCTCCCTTGGGTTATAGAGTGGTTTTGTGCATGTTGAATGTTCACAAAATGTCCACCTCTTTTTTGTCCCCAAACCCCCTGATTTGATGTGACCTCTTTGGTGGCGGGGAGGAAGGGTGAAGGAGAGTTGTAGAGACTTTTGGAAGCTTCACTCTAAGAATTAATACTTCTGCTTCAGCATAATGTTGGTATTTGATCAAACATAAAAAGCTTCAAGCTCTTAATGTCCTGCTGACACCAGTATCAACAAAGCACTGAAGCGGAAGCTTTCTGGTGGCTGATTAGAGGGAGATTTTATATCACTGGCTTTCTGACTAAGTAGACCTTTTAGTAGATCTTCCTCAAGGATCAGCTACATCATACATTATGAATCAAATTCAGGAGCTTTAATAAAAGACCTTCGAGAATTTGGTAATATATTATCACCATGTTTTGGAAAGGCAATAAATGACTGCATTTTATAGTGTAATTTAAAATAATAATATGGATTACAGTTGTGTTCAGTCATGAAAGTATAATTTAACACTTGGGCTTATAATAACCTTTTTTCCCTTGACAGTGTCCACTCTTATTTGAGCCCAAGAAGGGCTTACTTGGGAATGGTTTACTACACTTGCCTTTAGAGTCTAGTAGGGCTGAACAAGTGTTCAGTTGGAATTTTCTGTTGTCGTTTCGGAAAAGCTTCACACAAGAATGGAACTGAAAGCTGGATGATAAAGACTGCTGAGGAGCGAGCCGTTCTGACGCCAGAAGCATGGCCCATGTTTGGAAGCTGCTGCTTCAGCAGGGCCTCCAGGAAATGGACGGCTCGTGAGGAGTAGCAATTGAAGAGAGTTTAATGGAGAAACTATTTATAAAGCTGTGGGAATGCTAAGGGAAGCAACAAGGCCCAGTGGGGCACCCGGGGGCGCGTGCAGCAGGCAGCCGT